TTAAAAATCCACGTTTCTTGGTTTGTCCTTGAAAAAATATTCTTCAAAAAATCCACGTTTCTTGGTTAGTCCTTGAAAAATATTCCATAAAAATCCACGTTTCTTGGTTTGTCCTTGAAAAAATATTCTTTAAAAAATCCACGTTTCTTGTTCCTTTGGAAAAATATTCTTTAAAAAATCCACGTTTGTTGGTCCTTTGAAACATATTCTTTTAAAAAGTCCACGTTTGGTGGTCCTTGAAAAAATATTCTTTAAAAAATCCACGTTTCCTGGTCCTTGAAAAGAATATTCTGGTCCTTGAAAAAAATATTCTTTAAAAAATCCACGTTTCTGTTGGTCGTTGAAAAAATATTCTTTAAAAAAATCTACGTTTCTTGGTTCTTTGAAAAAATATTCTTTAAAAAGTCCACGTTTCCTGGTCCTTGGAAAAATATTTTTAAAAAGTCCACGTTTCTTGGTCCTTGAAAAAATATTTTTAAAAAGTCCGCGTTTCTTGGTCCTTGAAAAAATATTTTTAAAAAGTTCACGTTTCTTGGTCCTTGAAAAAATATTCTTTAAAAAGTCCACGTTTCCTGGTCCTTGGAAAAATATTTTTAAAAAGTCCACGTTTCTTGGTCCTTGAAAAAATATTTTTAAAAAGTCCGCGTTTCTTGGTCCTTGAAAAAATATTTTTAAAAAGTTCACGTTTCTTGGTCCTTGAAAAAATATTTTTAAAAAGTCCACGTTTCTTGGTCCTTGCAAAAATATTCTTTAAAAAATCCACGTTTATTGGTTCTTTGAAAAAATATTCTTTAAAAAATCCACGTTTATTGGTTCTTTGAAAAAATATTCTTTAAAAAATCCACGTTTCTTGGTCCTTTGAAAAAAAATTCTTTAAAAAATCCACGTTTCTTGGTCCTTTGAAAAAATATTCTTTAAAAAGTCCACGTTTCTTGGTCCTTGAAAAAATATTTTTAAAAAGTCCACGTTTCTTGGTCCTTGAAAAAATATTTTTAAAAAGTTCACGTTTCTTGGTCCTTGAAAAAATATTTTTAAAAAGTACACGTTTCTTGGTCCTTGAAAAAAATATTCTTTAAAAAATCCGTGTTCTTTTTCCTTGAAAAAATATTCTTTCTTGGTCCTTCAAAAAATATTCTTTAAAAAATCCACGTTTCTTGGTCCTTCAAAAAATATTCTTTAAAAAATCCACGTTTCTTGGTCCTTCAAAAAATATTCTTTAAAAAATCCACGTTTCTTGGCCCTTGAGAAAATGTTCATTAAAAAATCTAGGTTTCTTGGTCCTTTGTCGTCCACTCTCTTTAAAAAAATTCAAGTTTGAAGGTCTTGTGGTTCTCAAAAATGTTCTTAAAAAAGTCTACGATTAAAGGCAATTTGGTCCTTGGAAAATATCCTTTAAAATCCATGACTCTTTGGTCTTTGAGCAAATTTTCTCTGAACGTCTTTGAGAAAAAATATTGTGTGCTCCCATGCCCCTACATTCTGCTCCATTGAGACATCCCGTACTGTTTTCTTTTGGCTCCGCAAAGGTATGAAATGTGATACGTTAACGTTTCGCATAAAATTGCTAAAGCAAAATTTATGCAAATCGGAAGCAAACATTAATCAAAGTTTTTTTCCTCCCAAGTTTTTTGTTGGTCATATCTTCATTGAGAGCGAGTTTTTAGCTTTTGCTTGAATTTATTTTTGCCAGTGGCTAGGTTGTTTTTTTTTTTTTTGGCCCGTTTCGCTTGTCGCTTGTCTTCTCATCCATATTTCTTTGGTGGGTTGTGTAAATTTGAGGCCATCTAAAATGCCGTCGTGACCAAATCGAGCATGAAAAAGTAGACAAATATTCTCACACGTTTTTGTCATAACGGTGTCCTTGCGGTGGGGTGAGTTGAATTCTTGCAACTTTTTTTTTGTTGTTGGCGAAGAGGTTGAAATGTAGCGCATAATTGATGGGATACCTTTGCTAAAGAAGCAACAAAACAAGACAATTTGTGAAGGTTATGAAAGATAGGTGTAGGGTTTATATTGAGGGAATGATTTCCTTGATTTCAACATCAGATAATGGGCACATTCGTCCGCGAAAAACAAAAAATTCCTTCTATCCGTCTGTGGAAATCACTCTAGCTTCCGAACGAAATCAAGTAGATTGATATATATTATGTTTGCAGGACTTTTGGTATTGAAAATGGGCCATGTAGGTCCACGTCTTCGTATACCCCCCATATAACGGTACCTCCCGATATTCGGTATTTTGATGATTTTAACGAAATTAATCATCGGAATTGTTTCATATTTGATATTTCAGGTTCGTAATAGATACTACAGTCTATGATAGAAAATTTTCTGTGCAGGTTCGCGTTTTGGTAAAGGCCCCATACAATGTTACCTCCCTATATTCAGTATTTTGATGATTATAGCTACATCATTCACCGATTTGTTTAAAGTTTCCCATTTGAATAGTGTAACCGCTTATGACAAAAGTTGCCTATGCAGGTCCACGTCTTCGTAAAACTCCAATATAAGGGCAACATACGGTATTTTTGGGATTTTAACAGAATTTTTAACGGATTTTACGTCAGTAAATTTGTTTAAAAAATCAACGTCTACTGATTGTTAAAAAAAATATTTTTTAAAAACTCCATACTAACTGATTAGTTGAAAACTATTTTTTAAAAAATCAACGTTAACTGATTGTTAAAAAAAATATTTTTTAAAAACTCCATACTAACTGATTAGTTGAAAACTATTTTTTAAAAAATCAACGTTAACTGATTGTTAAAAAAAAATATTTTTTAAAAACTCCAAATTAACTGATTGGTTGAAATTTTTTTTTTAAATATCCACGTTAACTGATTGTTAAAAAAATATTTTTTAAAAAATCCACGTTAACTGGTTGTTAAAAAAATATTTTTTTTTTTAAATCCACGTTAACTGATTGTTAAATTTTTTTTAAATCCACGTTAACTGATTGTTAAGAAAAATATTTTTTAAGAAATCCACGTTAATTGTTTGTTAAAAAAACTATTTTTTTAAAAATCCACGTTAACTGGTTGATAAAAAAATATTTTTTTTTAAATCCACGTCAACCGATTGTTAATTTTTTTTTGAATCCACGTTAACTGATTGTTAAAAAAAATATTTTTTAAGAAATCCACGTTAACTGTTTGTTAAAAAAACTATTTTTAAAAAATCGACGTTTACTGATTGTAAAGTTGACGGATTGTTAAAAAATGCATTTTTAAAAATCCACGTTTGTGAATTTGTTGAAGAAATATTTTTTTAAGAAATCCACATTTGAAAATTTGTTTAAAAAATATTTTTTAAAAGTCCACATTTGTAAATATGTTTTAAAAAATCCACGTTTGTAAATTTGTTAAAAAAATATTTTTTTAAAAATACACAGTTGTAAATATTTTTAAAAAATATGCTTTAAAAAATCCACGTTTGTAAATTAGTTTAAAAAATATTTTTTAAAAAATCAACATTTGTAAATACATTTAAAAAATATTTTTTTTAAAAATCCACATTTGAAAATATTTAAAAAAAAATTTTTTTTTAAATCCACGTATGTAAATTTTTGTTTAAAAAATATATATTTTTTAAAAAATTCTCTATTGTAAATTTGTTTAAAAAATATTATTTAAAAAATCCCCATTTGTAAATTTGTTCAAAAAATATTTTTTTAAAAAATCCACGTTTGTAAATTTGTGGAAAAAATATTTTTTTTAAAAAATCCACGTTTATTGTTTGTAAAAAAATATATTATTAAAAAATCCACGTTTGTAAATTTGTGGAAAATATATTTTTTTAAAAAATCCACGTTTGTAAATTTGTGGAAAAAAATATTTTTTTAAAAAATCCACGTTTATTGTTTGTAAAAAAATATATTATTAAAAAATCCACGTTTGTAAATTTGTGGAAAAAAATATTTTTTTAAAAAATGCACGTTTATTGTTTGTAAAAAAATATTTTATTAAAAAATCCACGTTTGTTAATTTTGTTGAAAAAATATATATTTTTTAAAAAATTCACGATTATTGGTCGTTTAAAAATATATATTTTTTTTAAAAAAATCCACCATTATTGGTCGTTTAAAAATATATATTTTTAAAAAAATCCACGATTATTGGTCGTTTAAAAATTTATATTTAAGAAAAAACAACGTTTATTGGATACTTTAATTAAGTTTAAAAATCCATGTTTATACATTTATTGAAAACAACAGTTTTAAACAAATCCGCGTTTTGTTAAATTTGATTAAAAATCCACATTTTGGTTCTTTCAAAAACTATTTTTTTTTAAATCAATTTTTGTAAATTTTCGTTGGTATTAATAAAATTGTCTTCATATTTTATTAATACCCACGATTTTTTGTCGTTATTTTTTTAAGTCTGCGTTTATTTTTCGCTTAAAACAACACTTTTTTTAATCCATGTTCATTGGTCCTTTAAAAAAGTATTTTTTAATTCAAAATTATTGGTCCTTTAAAAAACATTTTTTTTTAAATCCACATTTATTTGTGTTTTCAAAATTATTTTTTTTTTTAAATCCACCTTTATTGGTCTGCTCAAGTAACATTTTTACAAATGCACATTTATTGGTCGATTAAAATTTTTTTTTAATCCACATCTATTAATTCTATAAAACATTACTTTTTTAAAAGTTCATCTATTGGTCCTTACAAAAATATTTTTTAAAAATCTACGATATTTGCTCATTAAAAAAAGTAAATAAACATTATTTGTTTCTTCAAAAAAAAATATTTAACAGAATCCTTTGGAAAAATATTTTTTAGAAGGTTAGTTTCTAAAAAAAAAATCTAAAAAATCTTTAGAAACATTTTTTAATTAATTTTTTTATATTTATTTATCAGAAAATATTCTGAGGTCTTTCGCAAATCTTCTTGAAAAAATCCACGTTGTCATCGCTCTTTAAAAATAGTCTTTAAAAATCTCTTTAAAAATATTTCGTATTATTTGTATTAATCAAAATACTTCTGTTTTCTCTTTCAGGTATGTAATGCTTCATTTCCTGGTGTCCGTATAAAAATTATGGTATGTAAACAAAAAATGGCAAAACTTTAAGAAAACAATCAGAACTTTTTCGCGTAACAACAATAGAACCATTTCATTAAAAATAAAAACAATAAAACATTTTTTTTTTGAAAGCTATTGACAAATAAACAAACGGCCAATGGCTGTCAAACTTTATTTTCGAATTAATTATTGAAACTTTGGAAATCTTCAGTGAGCCTTTAAATGAGTTCGAAAGTAATTTATGGACGACTCAAGGGAAAGCCATACAACTTCCAAGGATCAAAATGCTGAAGCATGGAGGTCATTTTTTAAATCACCAACAATATTTCTTGGATGTTGTTGGTGGTAGTGGTGGTGGAGGTGGTGGAGGTGGTGTGGAAACCATTTATTTAACTCATTCCTCCGCAGAAGGGCTTCATTAAACATTAATTAGAAATATTCACCTGTTCGTTAGAGATGGTGGGGGGATTGGTGGAGTGCCAAAATAAAATCTCGTGCCGAATGATGTTCATTGCCAAATGTCTGGCCAACAAATCAAAGGATATCCAAACCACATACGCAAATGCTATCTCAGGCTATGCTCCCCGCAATTTCTCTCCGCCGATCTTAAGACAATTTCTTTAGCTTCTTCTTCTTGCTGTTCTTCATGATCTATATGCTGATGAACGAACTTTTTGGCGCAGAGCACACGCCAACCCATCACCTTCCTCATCATTCGCATAACCATGTCATGTTCAAGGTTATTTTCTTCTTCATTCATGCATTCATTCGAAAAGGGCAAAGTTTTAAGCCTCAAGCTTTATAGACATTAATTTATATATCTTTCATTTATATGTCTAAATATAAATATGTATGTGTGTGTATGTGTATGTACATCAGTACTTAACCTAACGTTAGACCATAATATAAATCAAAGTGAAAATGATTTGGCAAATTTCATTAAAAATACTCAATCTAGGATGGAGGTGAGTCAAAGGACTTCCACGAGCAAGGATGGCAGCTGAAAGGAAGCACCGCAAACGGTGCTGGCAAAAAAATTTTAATCTCAATTTTATTTTTTTTTATTTGAAACTCATTTTTATACCCTACACCATAGTATGGAGTATATTCTTGATCAGCATAAAATTCTATGTCGATTTATCAATGTCCGTCCGTCTGTCCGTCTATCCGTCTGTGGAAATCACTCTAGCTTCCGAACCAAATGAAGTAGGTTGATAAAATTTTTCTCAAATGTATATTATGTCTGCAGGACTTTTGATATTGAAAATGGGCCATGTAGGTCCACATCTTTGTATAGCCCCCATATAACGGTACCTCCCGATATGCGGTATTTTGACGATTTTAGCGACATTATTTACCGGGATTGTTTCAAATTTGGTATTTGAAGTTCGTAATAGATACTACAGCCTATGACAGAAAATTGTCTGGGCAGGTCCATTTATAACCCCCATGGTACCTCCAGATATTCGGTATTTTGAAGATTTTAGCGACATTATTTATCGGAATTGTTTCAAATTTGGTATTTGAAGTTCGTTATAGATGCTACAGCACAAAACAAAAAATGGGTCATGTAGGTCCACTTCTTCGTATAGCCCCCATATAACGGTACCTCCAGATTTTCGGTATTTTGATGATTTTAGCGGCATTATTTACCGGAATTGTTTCAACTTTGGTATTTGAAGTTCGTAATACATGCTACAGCCTATGACAGAAAATTGTCTGTGCAGGTCCACGTCTTCGTATAGCCCCCATATAACGGTACCACCCGATATTCGGTATTCTGATGATTTTAGCGACATTATTTACCGGAATTGTTTCAAATTTGGTATTTGTAGTTCGTAATGGATACTACAGCCTATGACAGAAAATTGTCTGTGCAGATCCACGTCTTCGTATAGCACCCATATAATGGTACCCCCCGATATGCGGTATTTTGATGATTCTAGCGACATTTTTTACCGGAATTGTTTCAAAATTAATATTTAAAGTTTGTAATAGATGCTACGGCTTAAGACAGAAAATGGGTCATGTAGGTCCACGTCTTCATATAGCACCCATATAACGGTACCTCCAGATATTCGGTATTTTGAGGATTTTATCGACATTATTCACCGGAATTCTTTCAAATTTGGTATTTAAAGTTGGTAATAGATACCACAGCATAAAACAGAAAATGGGTCATGTAGGTCCACGTCTTCGTACAGTCCCCATATAACGGTACCTCCCGATATCCGGTTTTTGATAATTTTGGCGGTATTATTCACCGGAATTGTTTCAAATTTGGTATTTGTAGTTCGTAATGGATACTACAGCCTATGACAGAAAATCGTCTGTGCAGGTCCACGTCTTCGTATAGCCCCCATATAATGGTACCCCCCATTATTCGGTATTCTGATGATTTTAGCGACACTATTTACCGGAATTATTTCAAATTTGGTATTTGAAGTTCGTAATAGATATGCAGCATAAAACAGAAAATGGGCCATGTTGGTCAACGTCTTCGTATAGCCCCCATATAACGGTACCTCCAGATATTCGGTATTTTGATGATTTTAGCGACATTACTTACCGGAATTGTTTCAAATTTGGTATTTGTAGTTCGTAATGAATACTACAGCCTATGACAGAAAATCGTCTGTGCAGGTCCACGTCTTCGTATAGCCCCCATATAACGGTACCCCCCATTATTCGGTATTCTGATGATTTTAGCGACATTATTTACCGGAATTGTTTCAACTTTGGTATTTGAAGTTCGTAATAGATGCTACAGCCTATGACAGAAAATTGTCTATGCAGGTCCACGTCATCGTATAGCCCCCATATAACGGTACCTCCAGATATTCGGTATTTTGATAATTTTGGCGGCATTATTCACCGGAATTGTTTCAATTTTGGTATTTGAAGTTCGTAATGAATACTACAGCCTATGACAGAAAATTGTCTGTGCAGATACACGTCTTCGTATAGCTTCCATATAACGGTACCTCCAGATATTCGGTATTTTGATGATTTTAGTGACATTATTTACCGGAATTGTTTCAAATTTGGTACTACAGTCTATGACAGAAAATTGTCTTTGCAGGTCCAGGTCTTCGTAAAGACTCCGGAATAACGTGTACTCCCCATATTCGACTTTTTTTTAAGAATTTTACAGAATTTCTAACGGATTCTATTTTTTATTTTATTTTGAAAATTTCCAAATTCGCTCCAAATGGTGCAGGGTATTTAAAGTTCAGCCGAACTTACTGCTTTTTAACTTGTTTAATTTCCCGGTTTGAGGCTTGGTTTAGAAAAAATTTTTTTTCAAAATATTACTGTGCTCAGGTTCTCTTCTGATGGCATTTGTTCCGCTCAAGAGACGATTAAAAATCGCAGTTTGAAGCTCTGTTGGTCCATTGAACGCTAGCCTTCATTTTGGGCCTTTTGGTTCTCAAAATTAATTTTGTTTTTTTTTTTTTTTTGGTGTCCTGTAGCTGTAGCATATTTAAGGATATTTCTTTAAGGACCATCTTGTAGAAATATCCTTAAAAATGCACCTTGGTAGCAGACAGACAAAAAAAAGATAAAAAACTTGCAGGAAATATTTTATATATCCACATTGGTATTAGATATGGACTTTAGAAAAATACCCAGAAAAATGCAAGAAAAAATATTTAAAAAGTTTGTGGCTCAAACGATATTAAAAAAAATCTTTTAAAAATTCCAAATTTTTAAAGGAGAATGGCTCCATTATTGCAAAATGTTAATATTTTTAAAAGTATTTCTTTAAAATTTCGATATTTTGACTATTTTAAAAATATTTTTTTTTTCCAAATTTGAGTGTAGTTTCTTAAAATTTTTTAAGAGTGCATTTCTTGAAAAATATTTTTAAAAATATTTTTTATTAATTTTTTTCTATTATTTCCATCATTTAAAATTTTTTTTTTCAAAATTCTATATTTTTAAGAGAGAAAGACCAAAAACAATTTTTTTTGTAAAAGCATATTTTTTTAAAAATTTGTATATTTAAGCTGTTTTAAAAATATTTTTCTAAATTTGGGTGTAGTATCTTAAGATTATTAAAGTGGATTTTTGGGCCTTTTGGTTCTCAAAATAAATTTTGTTTTTTTGGTGTCCTGTAGCTGTAGCATATTTAAGGATATTTCTTTAAGGACCATCTTGAAGAAATATCCTTAAAAATGCACGTTTGTAGCAGACAGACAAAAAAAAAGATAAAAAATCTTGCAGGAAATATTTTAGATATCCACATTGGTAATAGATATGGACTTTAGAAAAATACCCAGAAAATGCAAGAAAAAAATTTTTTAAAAGTTTGTGGCTCAAACGATATTAAAAAAAAAATCTTTTAAAAATTCAAAATTTTTAAGGGGAATGGCTCCATTATTGCTAAATGTGAATATTTTTAAAAGAATTTCTTTAAAATTTGGATATTTTGACTATTTTAAAAATATTTTTTTCTCCAAATTTGGGTATTGTTTTTTCAGGTTTTTAAAAGTGGATTTCTTGAAAAATATTTTTAAAAATATTTTTTATTAATTTTTTTTCTCTTATTTCCATCTTTTAAAAAAATCTTTTCAAAATTCTATATTTTTAAGAAAGAAGGACCCCAAACGGCTTTGTCTTTTGCAAAAGCATATTTTTTCAAAATTTGAATATTTAAACTATTTCAAAAATATTTTTCTAAATTTGGGTGTAGTATCTTAAGATTATTAAAGTGGATTTTTGGGCCTTTTTGTTCTCAAAATTAATTTTTTTTGGTGTCCTATAGCTGTAGCATATTTAAGGATATTTCTTTAAGGACCATCTTGAAGAAATATCCTTAAAAATGCACCTAGGTAGCAGACAGACAAAAAAGGCAAAAAATTCTTGCAGGAAATATTTTAGATATCCACATTGGTAATAGATATGGACTTTAGAAAAATACCCAGAAATCTGGAGGAAAAAATATTTAAAAAGTTTGTGGCTCAAACGATATTTAAAAAAAAAAATCTTTTAAAAATTCAAAATTTTCAAGGGAGAATGGCTCCATTATTGCTAAATGTGAATATTTTTAAAAGTATTTTTTTTTTAAATTTGGATATTTTGACTATT